CCCAAACATTTCAAATAGTGTACTCAACCTGTAGCAACATGCTTTCTTGAGAACTATCCTGGTGTAGCTCGAGTTTCTATGCAGCCTCCATGTTTGTTGATTAAAAGGATTTTCATTCACTTGATTGAGCCTGGAAACTCTAGCCCGAGCTAGCGGTTATCCCAGCTTAATACAAGGATGCAATCTTGCCCATGTGGTACAGAAGTCAGGCAGAGTCTTCCACAGAGAAGCGAGGAATGGGTGTGGCACAGGGGCTTGGCTGTGTTCTTTTTTTGCATGGCTTTTGATTTCAAAGCAGTAGAGATCCCTGGGAAAAATTAAGGTGACTTTTTCCTCCCATACTTTTTCTACTGGACTTCTTGAGAAACTGACTAGTCTGATAACATTTTCACTGGAAATTATGTATGTTCTGTTGTTGGAAGGTATATGTTGCATGTGCATAGTCAACATTTCTGTACTTGTACTCAAGAATTTTTCTTATTACATACAGTATATACATATATACTATATATACACATATATGGAGATTGATTGCACTGAGGGAAGCAGATTTTTTTCCACCCATACATTTCCTGTTCAGGTAGCTTGGCTTTTGCCGAGTCCAGCATTCTTTTCAACTCTTTACTTGCACATTTTCCCTCCCAAAATGCCATAATCTGAATTAGTCCTCATATTCTTTCTTAACTCATTGCTTGCCCTTTAGGAGAACTTGGTCTGTGTTTTTCTCTTTATTTGAACTTCCTCTTTTTATTATGTCTTTCAACATGCTGTTGTAGCAGTTGATATTAAGTAGCTCCAAAACAGTTGAACTTTGTGAAGCTGTAAGTCTATTTTTAGTGTGAAATTATCAGCACATCTGAATATTCTTGAAATGTGTTGTCCAAATCAAGAAACCGCAAAAGATTTTGAAGCCTGGTTATTTTCTTTCTTTATGAAATTCGTCTTCAAAATATTTGATGACTATGTCAGCTTGTTTTAGAAGTGGGAAAGTACACATAGAAAGTACAGGAAAACTAATTTTCCCCTCAAAATGGAAAACAGAAAATTTTAGAAGAATAAACCATACTTGTTGCCAACACTTCTATTTTTGGTCCGAAGATACATCTTCTGAAGCAAATTCAGCAATTAACATTGCTTGCTTGTCTTCTTTTTCTCTGCATATTCTATGGAGTAATATTCTTTTGGGTAATAATCATTTGAGTTCTTTTAGTAATCATACACAAGAATCTCTCTGCTATCTCAAAAATCTTAACAAGTATTAGAGACAGGAAGTATTACCATATATGCAGCATTATCTTTTTGCATTATTTTTAATCACTTGTGTTGCATATGCTGTTGGTTCATTATTTACCTTTCAAAACTTGAACTGACTGGATAGCCTGTCCTCTTTATTTGAGGCAACAGAACTTGCCTTGTTTATTACTTAAATAGTGGCTAAGTTATTTCCCCAAGTGGAAGTATCTTTTTGAAATGGCTTTTATAGGAAATGCAAACATATTTCATTGCATTAAACTGTACAGGCAGTCCCCAAGTTACAAACATCTGACTTACAAATAACTCACAGTTAAGAATGGGGGGTGAGCCAACAGGATGCGAAAGAAATCTACCCTAAGAAGAAAATCACCCCTGGGGAAAGGGTGTCTTCATTGAAGCTTTATCACTAATCCTCATTTCCACAACAAGCCAAATTTTTCAAAATTCTATGATCATGGCCAGAAAGTGAGATGAAATCTTCTGAACATAGGCACTGACAGCAAAACAGGCACCACAGGGGTGTAAACCCTTCCTTATGTTATCCAAAGCATATTAGAGAGTGGAGAAGAGAACAGAATTCTGAGAAACCACGGAAAAGATGAGGGTACATGGCCTAAACTATAAGTAAATTCAGTTTCTAAAACTATAATAAAGCTTTATTGTTTACATGGTAGAGAACATAGATCTCCTGTGTCAAATTTCCATATTTTTTTGCCTTATAGATTTGTAACAGTCATAATTCAGAAGCAAAATTAATTTTTATATTTGTATTTGTGACAAGAGATTTTCAGTTCGCAAAAATAGTAAAGTTCTGATCTCTTTGAATGCTGTAGTTCTGGTGGTGGTTGAAATCTTGTTGAAAGAGACTATCAGAGGAGCTATCCATTCAGCACCATTTAGCTCAGAATCTGATTTTCCCACTGTGGTTTATAAAGTCTAAAGAATTATTAGTGTCTGTGCTTTCAAGTTGCCTGTCAACTTATGGTGACCTCATAAATTCCACATAGGGTTTTCTTATGCAAAGAGAAAGGTGGTTTTGCTTGATCCTTCCTCAGAATACTTTGTGATGTTTTACATTGTAACTTTGCAAATTTGGTAGAACTCTTTACTTCTCTTGAAGCCACTTGGAAAATAACTTAAAGCAATTATGCAATATTATTTCAAAATAGAGACCTCAGGTCTATGATCCTGTTGTCTTTGTCATCATGTCATATTTAAACTTCCTTTTCTTTAATATAGCAGTGAATGAAGAAATTAAACCATCTGAAACATTTCCTGCTACTAATACACCATTTCCTGTTTTTCTTTAACATTGTTCCTCTCTGACTCTTTGTCCTTAAGGCTTAGAATTCTGCTTTGTTTTTACATTCATTCAGTGACATTTCAATAATGAGAAGTCCAGACCAAACATATTGAATGCATCTTGTTTAATGTATTAATCACCCATATGAAACAGGTGCTCAATTTATCATATTGTAGTTTTCCCATGAGTTATACATTCCTTTCTAGTTTGTTGCTAGCACTGTAAAATTTCCTATATCTGTTCTAAGCCTTACATGATAGGATCAGGTGAGCATTATGGGGTAGCAATTTGCATTTCTGTGAGATTCCTAGTGAATCAAAAATATATTTTTGTTATTAGCTGTTTTCATTTTGATAGTACAGTGGCATTCAAATATTTATAGTGAGTTTTTTTGCCATCAGTGCAAACAAAGCACTGAAATTGTAGAAGCAGCAAAATAATGAAAAAATAATAAATGACATAAAACATGCCTTCAAACTAATCATTCTAATCTCTGAACATATTTGCAGGAACAAGTTCCTTAAGTAGTGAGTCCAATAGGGTTCAAGAAAGATCTGTCATGCACCCAATTTTCACAGGGTAAACCACTATGTTGAATTGCTCTATTTCTCTGGGTTACTTTGGCACAAAACAGAATCATGCAGGAGGGACTAATTCTTAAATTTATTAGAATATCAGTATTGAAAGGAGCACCTCTGTATAAGTGGCTACTTAAAGACTGAAGTCTGCTGGAAGGGCCATCAGGGTATGCAATGCATTGTGCGAGGATGTGGGAAAGATACTTTTTGCCTGTGGAAATCCAATGATGGAATGCCTTTCCGTCAGAGACCTGATTGGTATCAACTTTGGCTTCGTTTTAGCACATACTTTTATAGGAGCCTCTGAGATGCAATAATTTGTCCATTCTAACTTCTAAAACTTCTTTTAATTTTCAGGTAGTTTCTTTTGTACTTGTATTGTAAATTCTTTATTATTGATTAAGATTCTAAATTTGTTTTTCTCTGCTGCCCTGAGGTACTTTGATATAAAATGGGATATAAATATTTCTCTAAATAAAAAAAAATCTTTCAGACATTCAAACCCCAAACTATTTGAGTCTTTAGAGGTTAGAACCAGCATTTTGAACTGTGCGAGAAAACATACTAGAGGGCAATGCAGATAATTTAGCAGTGATGTAATATGACCAGGCTTGTATTAACATTCCTGGCTGTCATATCATGCATAAGTGGCAGTTTTCAAGGACAACACTGCATAGACAGCACTACAGTAGTCCAACCTGGTGATAATCACAACATGTGCAGCTATGGCTATAAAACGCAACCATCCTTTCTTGGTTGTTAAGGAGGTTTAAAATATATACAGGCTGTCATCATGCCGTTACCTTTGATTTAGAGTTTCTCAGCAAAACTGATCATATAATATACTATATGTGGTATATTATATTTCAGCCCGGTGTGCCCTAAAATATAGGCAGTGATTCCAACAAGCGGTGTGTGGCACTTGACCAACTAAACAAGTTGAATGTAGTCTATCTATTTGGAATGCTCGGAATGGAATACCCACAGTTCACTTTTATCACTGTTCTTATTAAGGCACTAATAAAGGAAGGTTCCCACCTTTGTTAAGGTTTACTTTAAATTTGAGAAATGTGATAATATTGTGTTGATGTAAGCTGTTGCCATAATTACTGGTCCATCGAATTAATCATATGTTCAGAGAAAGGAAAGAAAAACTGACACTTAGGTGATGCAAGTTTTCTGTGTGAAATATTTCTAGAAGTACGTATATCCAGGTGAAACATTTTTTGTTGCTGTTTTTTGCAACAGTTATGTATAGATGGAAGACATTTTCATGATACTATTTTGTATTAAAAACAGCATGGTGTCATGGTTTGGGTGTTGGACTGGAACTCTGGGAGATCAGGTTCGAATCTTGTTCATTCGTGGAAAACCTTTGAGAGACCTTGACTAGATGACTCATTCTCAGCATCAGAAAAAGGCAACAACAAATCTCTTCTGAATAAATTTTGTAGAGACGACCTCATGATAGGTTTGCCAGAAATTGGAAATGACTTGAAGGTAACACAAAATAGTTTTGTCCAATTTTCTTGAATTATTATTATCATTTATTACTTAAGATATTTTTACCCTGCCTTTCTCCACAAGCGGACTCAAGGCAGCTTACAGCAGAATAAGATACAAAGTTAAAACATGGTTAGAATCACATATTCGTAAACCCATAACCTTCTCCCCCATAAAATCCCCCATAATAAAGTTACAGGAGCAAGTCATCCATTTATACTGGATAAAACCTACTTATTTGCTTGACAGACCTGACTGGGTTGAATATTTTAGTCAAAGAATTATGCTGATATTGAATTTTATACACAAGCTTCTCAGAAACTTAATATATTTTAATATATTCATTTTTTTTCTCTTTCTAGTGCTGGAGATTGACTTCTCAGAGCTTTTTTTGGAGGAAATCATTGGCATAGGAGGCTTTGGGAAAGTATATCGTGCAGTTTGGCTTGGAGAGGAAGTTGCTGTCAAGGCAGCTCGCTATGATCCAGATGAAGACATCAGTGAGGCAATTGAGAATGTTCGTCAAGAAGCCAAACTGTTTGCAATGCTAAAACATCCCAACATAATTGCTTTGAAAGGTGTATGTCTCAAGGAACCTAACCTTTGTTTGATCATGGAGTTCGCTCGTGGAGGGTCACTAAACAGAGTGCTATCTGGTAAAAGGATACCACCAGACATACTGGTCAACTGGGCCGTCCAGATTGCTGGAGGAATGAACTACTTGCATGATGAAGCAATTGTTCCTATTATCCATCGGGATCTGAAGTCCAGCAATAGTAAGTAAGGAGTAAAGAACTTGCTTCAGATGTGATGTCAGTAGCTTTCAGAGATACTGGGCATAAAGAGAATTTTGAAGTAGTATGGGGTAGTACTGAACACAATTATGTAAGGCCAGTCTCAAAGTGCTAATGATATGTTAATAACCTGAGATGTATTCCAATAAGATTAGGTTGATAATAAATAAGGAAGGGATGGGAATGGAAATTAAAAGAAAAGGATGAAGCTCCTGAGTTCCAAATTAGAACTTATACGTAGGAGCTGCAAAAGTGAAAGAAAAACAGCTTTGTTTTGTAGAAAGTATTTTATTTATTTATTTATTTATTTATTTACTTACTGTATTTGTATACCGCCTTTCTCAGCCTGTAGGCGACTCTTTAGAATAAAGTAAGTTATCAGACAGGCCCCAACCCTGGCAGTCTTCAGGAGGAGCTGTTCCAGTGTGCCTTCCCAGAATAATGAATCCCACAGCACTTTGTCTTCCAAAGCACTTTACATTTCCCTGAGTCTGCTTGTATGCCCTCCGCAAACACTAGTATCACCTCTCGTTCATGGCCCAGCATCATTTCCAATTTTAACTTTACATTTGGCCTTCCCACTGTTTTAACTATGTGTTGCTTTTTTGATAATGTTGTTTATTTTATTGTCTATGTTTTTAATTGCTTGTATTGATGTTTTATTGCTTTTGTTGTTGTGTTTGGGTCCGGCCTCATGTAAGCCGCACCGAGTCCCTTGGGGAGATGATAGCGGGGTACAAATAAAGTTAATAAATAATAATAATAATAAATAAAGTGGAAATTGTGTAGTCCTCTGGTGCTATTGGACTACAACATAGCCAGTGATAAGGAATGCTGTGAAATCACAGTCCAGCAACATCTGGAAGGCCACATTGTTCCCATCCTTGAGATGATCAAACATTAATGGGATGTTACTGCTTGCAATAGTAAGAGTATTGTGATACTCTCAATTTGTACCTACATTTATTCTTTCAGCACTGACAAATATCAGCAGTCTGTAGTATGCATGATAGTCCAGATTTCAGGATTACTATGATCCATAAATATTTCTAACTTTAAAGAAAGCTCCGTAACACATTCTTTCTCTAGTCATTTGAGAACACCTCGATTGCCATGGGTAAAGAATGTCATATGCAGCTCCTTTGTGAAGACATCCTGTTGTTTGATCACTGTAATAGTGTTAGATGGTGAAATCTAATCTTTATGGCAGTATCATAGCCATGGTGTAGAAGTGAGTGGGAAGCAACTCTGAGCAGGATGTTATGTCACTTTACTTAAGAAGAAAGAATGGAGTAATGTATAGATAAATCTTATACTTTTGTAGAAGGCATAGAATCAGAGTTGGAAAGGACCACAAGGGCCATTTCATCCAATCCCTGATCATGCAGAAATACACAACTAAAGTAGTCCTGAAAGATGCCCAACCAATCTCTATTTTATTGGTGGATTCTCCAATGATGGAGAATCCACCACTCTCCAAGACGATCATTGTCAAACAGCTTTTTGCAGTAAAAAGCTTCTTCCTGTTTTTAGGTGGAATTTCTTTTCTTGTCATTTGAATCCATTGGTTCTTGTTTTTGTCTCTGGAGCAGAAAACAGTCTTATTTTTCTTCTATAAGACACCCCCCAGATATTTACATGTAGCTATCATGTCCTATTTGTCTTCTCTTTTGCAGACACAGCAATAGCCAACTTGCTCAGGCCCCTTCTACACTGCCATATAAAATCCCAATTATCTGCTTTGAACTGGATTATATGGCAATGTAGATTCATATAATCCAGTTCAAAGAAGATAATATGGATTATCTGCTTTGATGATCTGAATTATATGACAGTGTAGAAGGGGCCTCGGTCATTCCTCTTAAGACTTTGTTTCCATACCTTTGATCATCGTGGCAACCCTTTTCTGTAGATGTTCCTCCTTGTCAGTATTCTTCTCAAACTATGGTGCCCAGTGGTTAAACACAGTATTCTAGATGAGGTCCAACCAATGCAGAATAGAATGGCACTAATGCCTAAGTTGAACACTCTAGTTCTGTTTATGCAGCACTAAACTGTCTTGGATTTTTTTTTTTTGTTTTGACATGTTTATCTTGTGGACTGCTCATACCCCTGGGTTCTGTTCCCATGTATTGCTTTCAAGCCAGAATGTCATCCATGATTTAACTGCATTTCATTTTTTCTACCTAGATGTAGAAAAATGCATCTCCATTTAAATGCATTTTGTTAGTTTTGACCCAGCTCTCTAATCTGTCATGGTCATTTTGAATTTGACCCTGACTTTTGGTTTATTCACTAACCCCTCCCCTGCCTGGTGTGTATGCAAATTTAATAAGCATACCTTCTATTTCATCTTGTAAGTAATCCATAAAGATGTTCAACACCTGTCCCAGGACAAAAACTTGAGACACTCTACTAGTCACTTCTCTGCAGGATGATGAGTAGTCATTGGCACATAGTCTCTGGGGTTTGGTGTAACAACTCATTACAGATCCATCTAACTGTAGTACTGCCCAGGCCACAGTTCACTAAGCTATCTTGTCCAAAACCTTTCTGTAATTGATATATACTACATCATAGCACTCCCTTGTTTTATCATATGTTAACTTTGTTTTAAAAAGAGGTAAAATTAACTTGGCATGATTCGTTTTTGATAAACACGTGCTTGCTAGCTCTTAGTAATCACAGCATTCCTTTCTAAGTATTCACAGGCTGACTATTTAATTATCTGTTCTATGACATTTCCTGCTACTGATGTCAAACTGACTGGTTGTTAGTTGCTTGGGTTGCTTTTTCACACTTTGAAAGATGGGAAGTAGGTTTGGCTTTTCCTTTCCTCAGTATAATAAATCCCACCTGAGGATCCCACTATTTCCACCCCACTGACCATTGCTGTTAGTTAAGATCCATCCAAAATAGCTGATCTTCTTGTAGCCTTTTTCATACTTTGAAATTGTTTGTAAGGGACTGTATCTCTCCTTTATGAATATTCGATTTTTTGTTTTGTTTTAGGAAGATGTGATCCAAAATTTCAGTCTAGCCTGTAGTAGACCCCCAACAATGTGGTCACTGTTTTTCTTCCATTTCAGTATAATTTAAAAACACTCAATCTGTTTTCCATGGATCTTCTCACATGTGCACACATTGTTGAGATACAACACTTTCCTCCATTCCTGTTTGGTCTTTGGAATATGTTATTCCCATCTATTACTATGTTCCAATCATGAGATTTCATCACATCATGTTTCAATCAGACAGTCTCTCTTCCCCTACCCCATATATTTCAGTTTAAAGCCTTCATGATCAGATTTGCAAAACCCCTAGCAAATGTGTTCTTTCCATATGTTGTATAGAGCTTCTGCTTGCTGTGTCTGCCCCTTACAAAGTCAGCAGAAACCTTGCCCTCTTAGATCATGTGTTAGGGAAAGCATGCAGCGAAACACAAACACGCATATGCATCCAAGTAGCATAACAAAATAATCAATCCCAACCCAACAAAGCTAGCCAATCCTCAAAATGTTGGCAGGTCTTGAAAAGAAAGATACAAAAAAAAAAAGGAAGGAAGATCACTTAGTGGTCAAATGTCCATGGGCTTGGAGTATGTTTAGAATAAAATTACAACTTTTTAGGAGCTACTTCTTAGTATAGCAGTTCTAACATAAATGCTGCTTCTAGAATAGTATTAAAATCTAGGCTACAAAAGAGAACATGTTCTTATGAAGAGGCACAGGACAAACCTGCTGTTGTTTTCAAGACTTAATGAGCATATATGCCTGATGAGTAGTGATGGAGACAAGAAATTACTGTACTTTTGTTCTGATCCCCCTCTGAACCTTAGAAAATGGACTTCTAAGTAAAATCCTATTGAAGTAAGTACAAAATGGATATTGCTGAAACTCCTGTAAATATGTGCGTTCAACACTGACTTGGTAGTTAAAAAGTGTGAGAGTGCTAGTAGATTGACTGGGATTTTTAACTGTGGAAGAAAAAGGTATTGTTTTAGACAAGGTGCAACTAATTAAAAAAAAAGAATAAACCTCTTAGCAAATCTCCCCTCTGTCAATCTCCAGTATAATTAGCGAGATGCTAACTGTCAATGTATGTTAAATCTTTCTGACCTTGGAAAGAATTTTGTCTTAGCAGTGCTTAGGTATTTGTTGGTCTTTGTGCTAAGGAAATGATGATTTGACCACATCAGAGTGGCGCTTTACAAGGTTTGTTCCTTTGTTACGTCTTTGGCTGAGAAAGTATTTCTGCAGGACAGTTTCATCCATGTAAATTGGTTAAGTATTTTAAGAAATTCTATTTATATAGCTCACCAATAATGACTTCAAGGTTCTGTGTTCCATTTTACTGTTCATTGCATGAAATTTAAGATAGGAGTTGAATTTATCCCCAATTGCTTTGCAACAAAGACATAGCTAATATTTCTAGCTCAGGGTTGTTTCTGAAAATATGTCTTAAGTTTCATAAACAGTTATTTTCTTGATTACTTGGCACAAGTAAGAATTTCCTCAAGTAGGGAAATAGTCTGGGTTTGTTCCCTTTTTAGGTTGTAAATAACTAACATCATAATCTCCTGTCTGGTGGGCTAGAAACATCCATCAGCCACCACACTGTACAAGCTGATTACTTTGTGAACTTATAAGACTGGTATAGCTCTGCTCTTAGTTTATAATGGGTCAAGGATGGGTTAGTCTAATATAGAACAAGTTTATTCGGGACTGCATTAATTGGCTGCCAAGACTGGAGCTTAACCCACATACTAAGCACTTATCTTTTCCCTGTGTAGTTTTCAGCCAAGTGATTTTCATAAGGAGTAACTGAAAATTGTATAGAGCTGCTAAAGCAGTTGCACCTGTTTTGGGCTGTGTAAATAAAGAGTTTGCATTCTTTATATATCCTAGTTTAAGAAACTGTGTGGTCCTCCCTCCCTGATATTCCAGCAGCATCGCAGAACATCCCAGTTGAAGAATTGCTAT